GCCTTTTTGAGACAGGGTCTCCCTGTAACCCCAGCTAGCCTAGAACTCGCTATGAAGACCAGGTTGACATTGATCTCATAGCGATCCACCTGCCTGTGCCTCCAGAGTACTGGAATTAAAGGTGTGGGCCACCACACCCAGTGACTTATGATGTCTTATGCAGACATCTGGAGCCTAACTCCTAATGACTCATAGCACTTTAGATGGATAGCTGATTTCAAGAATGACAGCTTGTGCTAAAAATTTTACTTAATAAGGTGCCACCTACCTATCCAGATATGGACTCCACAAAAATGGCCCATGAGATAAGAACAAAACATGGCCCCTCAACTACTATAAAGACTTCTGCACCCTGTCAGCAGGAGCTTCCTCTCTGTGATCTCGTGTGCTACTTCCTTATAGTATATTTCAATAAATGTTCCTCTCAGTTTGTGTTCTTGATAATTTTTTAAGTACCTTCATCACAAACATTCCCTATTCCATCTTGCACAGAAGTCATTGTTGGCATTAGAATGTTTCCTCCACAAATAAAGAGAACAGTGTATTGGCATACCACTTGCTGGAACCCACATTGTGGTATCATTACCCTACCATCAATGTGGAGCTAATGCAGCAGGCGTGAGATGTGACCCATATTCTAGGCAACGGCTCCACTCTGCTTGTCCCATGCCTTAAGCATGGTAACGGCCCCATTTAATTGTCTTGCTTCTTCTTTGGTGTGTTAAAGAAAAGATCAAACAGTATGTCTTTCTATGCCCTGATTATTTTTCAGGTCCTCACTTGAAGACCATCCTGCATACTCCACTCCAGAGATCCATCTCTAAACCAAGCTCTCATCCATGTTCCTGGCCACTGGACCTTGAGTGACTGCTCTGTCCCATGGGAGGTACCTTTGTCCGTCATGAAGACTTGAGCTAAATGGCCCTAGTCCCCCGCTGCTCCCTGTCTCCAGCACACTCAGGTCATGCTGCTGCTCCAGGTCAGGCAGCTGTTGGAACCTGAGCTCCAGGCACTTCTGCCCTCTGGCTCCACTCTCCACCCAGGTGGTCATACCTGTAATCCCTTTGTGAGGTAAGTCAACCACTCTGATGCTGTGAGGGTACCTCAGAAAGATCCCACTACCCTTTGGCCCACTGTCCTTGACTCGGGGTGCCTCTTGACTTTCTAAGTTTCTGGGCTTTGGGTTGGCCTAGATAGAAATTAGAATACCTTCATGGCTATTTTTGTTAGGGCTCAATATGTGATGCCATGGTCTTACATACAAGATGAGGCAGCAAATACCCAAGTCCAGAAGCACTGGGATGGAGGCACACTCCATGAGGGATAGCCATGGGTTACACCTGGTCCAGTGACTGGTCTGCTGGTTACTGACAGGAACTGCCACCATAAACACCAAAGGCATCAGCCACGATGGCCTGAGACATCTCTGTGGGATTATCAAGTAAAGAAGAGGCTGGAGGCAACAGCCAGTCCAGGTCCCATTCTCCTGTCTTCCAACT